CGGCTAAACCAATCATTTGACCATCAAGGGTTTAAAGGGAATGGTTATCTCTACTGCACACAAGTCCATTACTTCTCTCCCTCAACCATCATCTCTTTCTGGCTCTCTCTCAAATTCCACTTGGTGAACGGTGACTTTACTTTTGTAAAAAGGTGGTGTTTTAGAGGAGTGCTTTAGTTGCTGCTCCTTAAACAACAACTTCTCATACTTAGTGGCCGCAATCACCAAGTCTTGAAGCTCACTAAACTGTGTGTCATAAAACTTCTTCCTCAAGGGTAGTGTCAAGGCTTTCTGAGCAATAGCTATAAGCTGGACATGGTTGATGGGAAACTGGCATCTCATCCTCGTTCTTCTAAACCTCATAATGAAGTCTTCAGTTGATTCATGCTCGTATTGTTTTACCTCAGCTAGATCATCGATGGTCATTTCTGGCTCCATCCTATATAACTTCTCGTGGAAAGCCATCTCCATTTGCCCCCAGTTAGCAATGGAATTTGGGGGCAATAAAGAGTACCACTGAGATGCTAAACCTACGAATAAGTTTCCGAACAACCTCAACTTATAGTTGGGATTGTCTTCAAATGCTACACAGTGGTTGGAGAACTTGAAGATGTGATCCCTGGAAGACACATTACTATCTTCTCCACTGAATGTTGGGAACGCGGGCATCTTGAAATTGAAAGGGAAGGGATTATGCTCATCAATATATTCCGGGTAAGGCTTTTGATAAGTGATTCCAAACAGTGGGTGAGTTTGTGGCTGGGCATTTCTTACCACCATCTTTCTTAACTCAGCCAACTCATCTCTGAGTTGTTGGTTGGCTGTATTATTAAGCGGGGTATGGAGAGTTCCCCCCTTCAGGCTACAATCATTACCCGATGAAGCCTCCATTCTTAACTCGAGCTGCCTCCACTTGACATCCCCTCCCTTTTTAGCCAATGGTGGTGGCCTATAAGGAGGGGGTTTGTCCGTAGTTGTATACTCTCCTTTCCCACTGGATTCTCCAATAAACTGGGGCATTCCATACTTTGTTCTTTCTTGCTTGTTTTGCCCCTTATTATTTAGTAGGAATAGGGGGTCGAGCAACTCTGCCTCTAAAATTTCTTCCAATACTGGCTAGTCCATTTCGGATCCTTCTTTGTTTTTCCCTTTGTTCCTTTTTTTTTCCAGTAAAGGAAACAACCGAATAACTGGCTCTTCCATAGGGCTGGCTTCTCTAATCGTCGATCATTTTCTAGGGTAGAATATTCTAGATCCAGCCTTCTTTCTAGATGTCCTATTAAAGAACAGAGTCTACTAACCTCTTCTTTTGTTTCTAGAGAGTTTCTCTCCATGCTTTATATGATAGCCATCATGGTAGCCTATAAGTCTTCATTTGTGACCTTCCCTCCTAATCTCTCAGAAGCAGTCGAGCTTTCCATTAAGACAGGTCCTTGCAAGTCTTTGGGGAGATTTGCCATGCTAGATCTTGGCATGTATTGGGGTGGTTTCCATTCTTTTTTCCACCTGAAGGTTTGTTCTTTCCTTCATCTTCTTGACATACAAGATTTGATCCCATCGGTCTTGCCAAAATTATGTTCGGGCAGGAATTTTGCTGAGAATGGTCCCTGGCTCGAGCACACAACTCCCCGAGGAGTTGACACTTTGGTTAACTGTCAGGTTCTCATTCGCTTGTTAAGTTGCAAGAAGAAGACAGTGTTAGTTCTGAAAGGTGCCTTTGTTGGGCCTTAGATGTAGGTCGTAAGGCTCGCAATTAAAACTAACTAAGTGCTAAGACGTGCCACTGCCATCTCTGTATGGCAGATGTAAAATGAGTGTATTGAAGCCGATTACTTGCGCCCCAAGTTATTCTGACTTCTCATCATCAAAGGATTGACATGGATGGGTTAAGTCCACATTAAGTTCTTTTCTATGCCTTGAGATCAAGGACTTTTGTTTATCTTGTATGCTTTTAAAGGGGAGGGGCTCAGATCTGATCAAGGCATTAGTTTCATTTACTTTTATGATAGTAAAAGTGCTAAGTGAACCGGATCTTAGAGTAGAACTTTGGATCATCAGGAGATCGAAAATGACTTTCATATATATTGAGGGATACATTATAACAACACATCTATTAATGGAAAGGCAAAAACAAAGAGAGTCGGGCATGATTTCACCTTGTCAGGCAAGGTTAAAGCGTCTTGCAATGTCTTTTCTTTGCAGTTACAAAGGGTTGAGTAATAAAGAAGGATGAGGGGTAAACAAGTTTACACAAGAGAATCGATACTACAACATTTGGGGAAGGTAGCAAAGTTTTTACATAGACAAAAGATGTCTTTCTATGGGAAATCTAAGGCTGAAAGGGTGCAGAATCTGGACAAAGCGCAGCTTTCTGAGTATTTGCTTAACTGAGAGACAAGTTGTATGTTTGTTTTTTTGATTGGTTGAGTGTCCTTGTCTCTGGGTCTTCTTTCTGCTTTTATAAACGAATTAACCCAACTGTGTTGTTTCTGTTTTTGCCTGAAAGTAACTGAAGGGTAATGAATCATTAACATTTTTGCATGGTCTGCCATCCAAAAGTACTTTTGGGCTGGATGTAGGTAGATTTCCATTCGTTGTTACTTCTTTTGTAAGCACCTAGTCTTTGCATTTAATGGGGGCCGTCATTTTGTCTTGAGATGGATGACCTTGGCTTGACTCTAGGCTTCAAGCAAACCTTCTTTATTGTGCCCATTTGGGCTTCCTTCCCTTTGAAGCTCAAAGTTTAAATAATAACTCAAACACATTCTAAATTAATTAAGCTTGGTTAAAAGACTTAGAGGTCACGTCTTGGTGGTTTTTTTTGTTAAAAGACTCTTTTGGTTTTGGAACGTGGGTTCATCAGTTTATAGGCCTTTGAAGAAAATAGGAAAAATATTTATTTTGGAATATATTGCCAAATATTGCTTTTGGTCCTTAATATTTCAAATGCATGCTTTTTCCAAGTAATTCTAAACTAGTTACCTAGCTAGATTTCCTTTCTAAATTCTTAATGTTTCTGTCAAAAGGATATAGAAGCATTTTTTTTTTGTTGTCAAATCGCTTTTAGCTGTGTTAGAAATCATTCCAAACAGATTTTACGCTTGTAGCATGCAAAAGCGTTTTGCTGAACACACTTATTGAGTATAGGTGACGATTCTGATGAATAAAAAACATTCCAAACAAGCCTGAATTCTTATTCAAAGGTTGTTGGCTTTTTTCAACTAGTACCTAAGCCATAAGTATGGTATTTTAGCTTAAATTCCTTTCGGATTTGATATTTAAACTAAAAGCTCTATAGATTAGTGTGTAATAAAATAAAATAAATCCAAGAATATGCATGAGTTCGGGTTTACTTTTAAAAGCGAGTTTAGAGCTTTCATCATATCCATATCCATATTTCTCGAAATGGTGTTTCGAATTGAAAGGCAGAACTGAAGTAGCACAGATACTTGTGGATCATCATCCCATGTGCATACTTGACAAAGTTACCAACAAACTCATTGGTCGTTAGTGAGCGACTGTGTGTGAGTGAGAGAGACAGAGCTACTCAATGACCATGAAGACTTTGCATGCCCACAACTTCAAGGCTTATGGTCTGGTCACAATGGAAATGACAACAAAATATGGAACAAGTTATCCATTGATTCCATTCCCAGTGTTTCTTGTTGCATGGACACAGTTGAAGTAATTGCTATAGTATAATACCAAGAGAAGTACACCGCTCTTATTGATCAATTGTAAAACTTCTCTAACATTGCAAGACTTCTCAAGTTTGAACTCGTCATCCTTCATAGACTTACAAAATTTAAAACTTTGTTCACGAAAAACTTTACTAAATTTAATCACCAAATCATTATAATTGCAATTTCGATTTTTATGTTACCAGCTGATATGACGCATAACATTCTCGCAAAGTACACTAAATGGAGTTTAAAATGGACCCACATGAAGACAAATGAAATACCTGAGACTTAAAAAGTTAAAATAAGAGTTTAGGCGGCTCGTAATTATTGTTACTTTAGTGTCTATATCGTAACCTCAAACTCATTTATTAATAACATAGCTAAAATTTGAAGACTAGAAAGAAATTAGCTTTGACAAGGCTCAGACTTTACAAAGAGCTTGCTTATTTAGTTAAGAGCATTCACTCTTGCATTCGATTTTCCTGCCCCTCAACATAGCTTGCACATTTTAAACTTCAACATCAATTTAATTAACAATAGTAAGATTCTAAGTCCTTCCTAATAAAGACCCATCATTTTGTTAGCAAGAGAATGCAAGTAGTCAATTATTTTACCTATGATTTCACGAAAATGATATTAAAAATTAATTACGTGCGCAGTTTTGGAAAAATAAAATTGCAAGTCTATAATTTGACGTGGGTATATAACGTGCATGAACTGCTCTATGCGTGTGACCAATCTCTGAACCTTTTAACCATTTTACTCAAATGCTCATGCAAAGAGACTGCAGGCTACAGCTACCTCTATATACACCTATATATCTATATATATAATCAAATTCCATTCAACAACTCAGTTGGCATTTTTTTACCTTTTCATTTTTTTCAGTTTCAATAGATCATCTAAGAAAGCATAACCGCTCTTTGGCTTCTTCAGTTAAAGATCGTTTTATCTTCTAAGTAAATTATAACCCACCTAATTAGAAGCTCAATCAAAATATTAACTCCCCATTTAATTATTTTACTTAAGTTTCTGTTTCGCTTTTAGCACAAGTTTGATGACTGACCCAAGTTTCTTTAAATTCCTCCGACCTTAAGTTCTCCACAGGTACCTGTGATCTGTTGTGTGTGTGTGTGTGTGTGTGATCCTTAAATTCCATATTAAATCTTTCTTTTTTTTAATTTTGTATATCCTATGATTCTTGTTCTTATGCTGCTCTTAATATTTGACAAGGAACACAAGCGGCAACACCCCACGCTCCCTCATTTATTATCTTCACCTCTTTCATTCACTCCTCCCCAACTCCAAAAAACCCAAACAAATCTTCGAAATTTCAACAAACAACACACATCTAGCTGGGGTTTTCTTGTTTTCATGTATTTCTTAGTTTTGATTCTCGTATTTTCGAAGCGGTTTGGGACGGAGAATAACCAGTGAGGGTGTCATGGAATTGGGTGTCTGGAGTGTTTTTGTTGTTGGTTTTGTGTTGCTGTTCTTGGGTTGCATTGAGGTCGGGTTCTCTCAAAGCGAAGCGTATGCAAGGAATTATATCAGCTGGGATGATTTGGAGGTGGATGACCATAAGTTGGGGCTGAACACAAGAGAAGAACACGTTAATGGAAGCCGGATCATTGTGGTCGACAAAAATGGAGGGGGAAATTCACTAACAGTTCAAGGAGCAGTTGATATGGTTCCGGAACAAAATACAGAAAGAGTCAAAATTTACATTCTTCCTGGAATTTACAGGTCTGCCTGATCAAATAACATTTCACTCATTGCATGCAAACAAACTATCACTCATCCCTCGAGGATCTTCGTTGTAAATTCTTTTCACTGTTAAAAAAACATTTCACTTCAACACAAAAACCCCAAAGAATTTTCAGATCTTGCATTTTTTTGACAGTTTCTAGTGTTTTGGAGGGTTCAGTTTAAACCCAGTTGAGCTACGTGGGTAGTAGTGGAAGTTACATATGCTTTTAGTGGTGGTCTCTTCCTAAAAACTGTACCCAAAAAAAATATTGGAGAAAAAAAAACTACCCATATATCATTGTAACTTGCTTCTCAAAAATTAATTTTTACATTATTATTTGTTGTCTTGTGAATTTGCGCAGAGAGAAGGTACTTGTACCGATTTCGAAGCCATACATATCATTTATTGGGAATCAGAATCAAACTTCTGAAACTGTGATTACTTGGAACAACAAGGCATCCGATAAGGACGGCATTGGTTTCGAACTGGGAACTTACAGAACTGCTTCTGTAGCCATAGAGGCCGATTACTTTTGCGCAACTGGGATCACCTTCGAGGTAATGACTACTAACGAACACGGGTTTTCACTTTTGACACGATGATGCACATATAAAAATTGAATGGAAAAAATTACAGCATTTGGTAAGTAGTTGGTCTGCAATTTTTAAGTGGTTATTGCAGAACTCAGTGGTTGCAGTGCCTGGAGGATATGGAATGCAAGCAGTGGCTCTTAGAGTTGCCGGTGACAAAGCCATGTTCTACAGAGTTCGGGTTTTGGGGACGCAGGATACACTCTTGGACGACACTGGATCTCACTACTTCTACCGATGCCACATTCAAGGAAGTGTGGACTTCATTTTTGGCAGATCAAGATCACTCTACCAGGTACAAATAGAACACCGAATGCCTAGCATTTCCGTAACTTGCTCCCCAAGTTTCTTCACGAAACTAAGATGCTTGAATTTGGCCCTTGTGACCAGGACTGTGTTATTCAATCAACGGCTCAGAACTCGGGAGCAATAGCGGCTCATCACAGGGACTCGCCGAATGAAGACACAGGATTCTCCTTTGTAAACTGCAAAATCATCGGGACTGGCTACATCTACTTGGGAAGAGCTTGGGGAAATTACTCGAGAACGGTGTATTCCTACTGTCATTTCGATGATATAATAACTCCGCCGGGGTGGAGCGACTGGAACCACCCATCCAGGCAGAAGTATATATAACCCCTTCCACGAAAAACTCTTTTAACAATGTTCATCTTAGATTCTCTCTATTGTTTCTAAAAGTGCAAGTTTTGCGTCGACAGGACTGTGGATTTCGGAGAATACGAATGCAGGGGCAGAGGAGCAGAAAGAAGAGGGAGGGTGCCATGGTTGAAGTCTTTCAGCTTGGAGGAGATAAGGCCTTTTCTGGATACAAATTTTATATCTGGAGAGCAGTGGCTTCGATTATAATTTGTTAATTATTGTACTAATTTTTTATATCCTCATTTTTTTTCCTCCACTATTCAAATGGAAATAGGCAAATCTTTACCATCTTTGACGCATATTTACGTAAACGTAATTGGAATCAAAACGAGAAATTGAATTCCAATTAAAGGATACTTTAGTGTTTACCAAATATTATAGAATCAAAAAGTTGGTGACGCCCACGCGAATTTAAAAATCCAATTCCAAAATTTGGAGGAATTGAATTACTTACATTTAGGTGAGAATTGAATCCTGGTTATTGGGGAACCGGATTTGATTTTTTTTCTTCCCATTATGTCCTCATTTATTTTTAAAATTTCAATATTGGCCTTCGCATTAACCCAACACTATCAATCGCTGCCCAATATCAAATTCAACAATAACAATAAAAATAATTATAATTAAATCAAATAATTAAATTTCATTGTGCTTAATATTTGGTGAATAGAAGCATTTAACATTTTTTTTCTATTAGTTAGTATAAAATTTAACCAAAAAAATAGTATATAAAATAAGTTACCTCAACTAAGGCCATTTTAGTAACTATACTAATTTTCATTCCGATTCAGGTTAATTAATAAACAATTTATATGAAATCTATACCAATTATCTTTCGATTCCAAAAAGTAGAATTCAATTTTGACTCCTCTCCATTCTGACCCCTTATCAATTTGATTCCTCCCATTTTGATTATGAACTAGTAAACGAGTGATGTTCAAATCAAGCAAATATTTTTATGAATACTATTTCATTTTCCAATCTATATTTATCCCAAGTCGACTTGGATGCCCAAAATAAAAGTGGATTTTTTTGTAACTAGCTATGGAAATCCATAGGTGGATTTTGAAGAGTAAAACGTAATCAAATGTATGGATGTCGCCCATGCCTTGTGTGAATTTACCTTCCCTATGATTATTCAAAAGGGATAGTTATTCGAACACATTTCTTATGTTTTCTTTAACAGTCCTAAACAGCATGGAACCAAGATACAGTACTTGAGATTACAACAGACCTCGGAATCTTTGATACAAGCTACAAGCAGAAGTACATGAGCGTGGTCAATAACATCGAAGAACCGACTCGCTGAGAAGCGTTCCTAATCGGAGGAACTCGAAATTTGAATTCTAATACAACCGTGGAAAACCAGAAAAAGATAAATATCATGACCCTAATCTCATACTGTACACCCAGGAACTCCACCAACTCCAAACAATGCAGTGAGCTTCTCTCCAACATCTCGGTGTAACTATTTACAGAAATCCTAGCTGACACACTTTTCAACATTAACCAACAACACTAACATCATTAACTGCCACAATTTAAGGTTATCAAACTCAAGTTAGACATCTTATGATGTCACTTCCATGATTTCTACTGCTTTCTGGCTCCCCTCCCCAGCAGTTTCAAACACCTCCATGCCTTCTTGGCCCTCATCATGACCATTGTTTTTTCCATCATCAACACCGTTGTCACGTTTGTCATCCTCAACACTGTTGTCATCTTTTTCATCATCAACATCATTAACCTGGACATCCTGTACATCACCACAACTGTCACCCACGTCAACACGTTCAGTATCAGCAGTTTCAACTTCGTACACCTCCATGCCTTCTTGGCCCTCATCATGACCATTGTTTTTGCCGTCACCCCCGCCATAGTTGCCTTTGTCACCCTCGGCCATTTTGTCATCTTTGTTGTCATCAACATCATTACCTTGGAAATCCTGTACATCGCCACAACTGTCATTGACATCAACATCTTCAGTACCAATGTCATTTAATGATGGTGACCTCCTATCACTGTCCAAGTCCATATTTTCAGAAGCATCAAAACTAGCAGATACGGCTAAGTCCTGTTTTTCCTCTTCCACATGTTTAGTACTAGAAGGAACTTCAACATACGACAAAGCAAACCCATCAGAGTCGACATCTTTCACAACTGCAGACGATGTAAGGGGACGAGTGCATGAGATGATTGTTGAAGCTATGGCTGAAAGTACATCAGGCTTCACCTCAACATCAACCCATTCGTCCCCCAACCAATCTTTGGATATTCTCAGATCATTTTTGTGCATGTTCAAGAGTAAGCTTTCACCTGATGCCACCAAAGAAATTACGTGCAAAGGAACTAAGAAAAATATAGGGAAAATATGTAACAGGAACATGCAGGGAAAAAACTAGATCCCGTTTCTATTCATACCAGGAATGAAAACTTGAAAGGTGTCAGCACAGCTGCCAACTCCAGCTATAATCCCTTCCCACCAGCCATCGCTCCACCATGCATCAATTGCAACCCCAACCTCAAGGGCAAGGCCCATTTGTTCCTTAGGAGGGGTTGGCCGGACCATTGGGCGGCCTAGACACCTTATGCCAAGCTTATCAGGCATAGCCAATCTAAAAGCTGGGATCCATTCCTACAAATTGGAGAGTGAGGGTCAGGCCTTCAAATCACAGTTCAGAAGCCAAAAGAAATGAAGAATAAACAGAATAATCGCTCAGAGAACACGAGTTAATGTGGTCCAATCTATCCAATGCCTACAAGAAAAGAGGAAATAAATTCGCAATGCACAAACTCATGCATCTATCATTACGAAATGCCTGTAACACCCAAAAATAGGACCATCTTTCTAAACTATAACCACAAACTGAGAACATGAGCCTGCACGAAAACTGACTGATTCAAAAAGGTTTAAATCACATACATGTGGACTATGTCAACAGCTAGCAAGTGGTTAAATTAAGGGTCAGTGAAACCGGTAGTGTTCAAGACACACCATCATACGTTAACTTACATTTCAGGGTAAGAGTTCAGAGTTCACAAAAGGAGATGCTCAAGAGTTGACATTGTAGACAGAGAGATACGCACACTTTAAAATCTAAACATGCTAGATTGCGTCTCAAAATGCAGGACAGTACCAAAAGAAAGAAGAGGAAAATGTAATTTAAATTGGAATTACAATAAATAGCTGATTAAAACAGAATCTTGGATGGGTGTCTTGTGTACCTAACTTAAGCCAGATACCGAGTACCTACGTTAGACATGATGTCACCGTTTTACACCACAACTTAGAGTTCAACCCAAATAATAGACATAGAAGAGGGAGTATCAGTGGCTAAGCATACCTCAAGATTGCCACTTGCTTCCTCGTCTTGCAAATCGTCATATTGGACTTTCATCTGTTTTCGTGTTATCTGCAACACTGTACACCTAAACCAGCAGCCTCGAATGCCACTATCTTGGCAAAGCAATTCTATCTTTTCATCAACCTTAAAGAGTGGGGTATACCAAGGCTGACAATCAACAAGCTTCATGGAAAACAACCGCCTGTCTAGCAAACCACAGTTTGTGTTCTGAGGTCTATATGTCATCATCTGGTTACCTCTACTAGAACTTCTTGCTCTTGAACGGCCAGTTGCAAACCTCTGACATGGCCTTCCACTTCTAGTCCTCTTAGACCCTCGCTTTACATAGTCACTTGGACCCAATTCATCTTCTTCCGCAATCAAGCTATCAGTTATAAACTCAGATTTTTCTGAAACTTCGAGACCCAAACAAGAGAGAATTGGCTGGTCAAAATAGCCATGCATTTTACTCAAATCAAATGGCTTCACCTTGTTACTTCTAAACTGTCTACAGCAGCAATGTACTCTGGCCAACAAAGCCTGAGGAAACACAGCTAAGCATTTTTCATAATGTTCACGAGTTAAGACTATTGCAGGACCATCAACACATTCTGCACTAATGACCTGCACATATGGCGTGATGAAAACTTCCTTAGGGTGAGGATTTCTTACAGGAGTTAACCCCTTGACTTCCTGATTACGGTGAAACCACCTCACTTTGACCTTTTTTTGACCCCTCTTGTCTTCATACATATCCTCCACATAAGCAACATAGTGATTTTCTCCCTTTGCCATGACAAAGACAAAGGACTTAATCTGGATGCAAAGGGAAAAGCAAAACAATCAGAGAAAAGAATTACAGCTAACAGCAAAAATCAGAGTAGCATGTCAATTCCATTGTCCACAGAATGCAAGTGGTCACTAGTGATTTGACCTGACCAAGATGTACACATCAAGGCAAACTTTACTTTGGTGATTAGTCTTTGAACTAAATCCTCTGATGTTCATGCATTAATATATCATAGGTGAACAAAGTGCAAATTTGACAGGCTATGAAGCAAATGAAACATGTAACATCAAGAGGAAACTAGTGTCACTACCACATAACTGGGACGTATGCTCAATCATCGTTATTAAACGCAACCATAGTCCACTGTAACAAAATAAAGACAATATTTTCTTTATCTTCTATATAAGCTTCAAAACTTGAGACAAATGATTGATTACTCCAATGCAATGTCTCTCAAGCACCCATCTGGAGGATGTGCTATATCGTAAATGGCAAAGTAATCATCTTTCAAATATGTAATGTCACAGAAATTATTCCAGGAATATCGGTCTACAAATTTAATGTGACTTTCATGTAAGTTTAAGAGTTTAAGCAATGAGAGCTATGCCTTGTACAGCTGCATACTTTGACAGTTAAATCCTTACCGCTATTGTAGTTCCATCCCTACAGAATGCAGGGAAATGCTTGAGCTGTTTACCACATGTACATGCAACACCTGACCAAACAATCTCCGGATTGCCTCCCTTCAAGGTCTTTGAAAGACGGCCCTGATAAACAGGTTGCAGAGTCAATATTGCAGGCAAAATTTGAAAGTATCACAAGAACAGAATCAATACTCATATAGGAAAACAACAAAAAGATACCAAGTTATTGGGTACCTGGGGACCATTAACTCCTTTCATTGGATATTCGGGACTCCCTGACGCTTGTGATGAATCATGTTGGGGTGATTCTGTCAACAAAAAAAAAAAAAAAAAAAATTTGTATTAGAATCATAATTTTCCAGTTATACAAATCCCTCGTTTCTAGCGAATACATCAAAAAGAATAAGCTTATTAGGTATTAAGATTGAATTTCTTAATAACAACCTCTATACAGAAATTCATAGTGGTAAAACCTATCTAATATTTTTCTATCCGGCACTTAAACTAGTGATTCATGCTGGGTTGCAAGAGGGAAATCAAAATCCTTGTGTCACAAAAGCTGTTATGGTTCTTACATGTCCAAAGCAATTAAAGCATTCTCTTGACAATGGCATACATACCATACACTTTATGGACAATAAAACAAACTAGAAATTACAAAGTGGGAACACATACCGGACAGATCTCCACGAATATGCTGCTTTGACAGCATAGATGTAAGCCAATCCACGACTTCCCTTCTTGACCTCCATTTAAAGTTGGCACTATTGGAGCTCTCGATTCCGTGCATTTGCAAAAACTCCTCAGAAACAACATAGAACATGTGCCTAACACTCCTCTCAGTACCCACAACTGCAAGAATGGATTCTCCAGAAGAATCCTTCAAGAAATAGTGAACCACACGGTTGCCCCTCTCCTGCGAAACAAAGTGCTCTTTCCACTCCACGAAAAGTTGACCATTTCCAGGCATTTTGACCGAGCGCACAAAGATGGCTTAACGAAGCACCAGAAACCTACTTCAAGTTCTAATTACATAGCAGAAGATGCCCCAAATGTAAGATAGCAAAAGGGGTCAAACCCTCAACCACTTAGCTGCCTAAAAAGTAACAATGGAGTATTTTTCAGGCCAAAGGCTACAATCTTGCAATTATTTATTACCTTGATCCTAGGAATAAATATAATATAGATCTTGCCCAAGCTGGAACTACTCTACAAACAAGAAAAACTCACATATTACAAGAATGACTAGAATATAAAACATCTTAGGGTTTGCAAACCTAACCAGATCAAAAGCCCTAACTTTACAGCTGAAAATTCCCCCAAATAAGTAGCAAAAGGATCAAACAACAAACCCAATTTGTTCAATAATCTTCAGAAACTGGAACCCAGCACACCCAGCAGAATCAGAAGGTATATTCTATTCAAACAAGGCAGAATTTGATCACTAAGTAACTATACCATGAAGTTTTCTGCTCAGACTTTGAAGAAGATCAACAATCAAGAACTGGGTACATGAGAAAACCTGTTCTTTTGATCCTCCAATGGCAGATCAGAACACCCTTTACTCAATACAACTGGGTATCAGCTTGGAAGCCCAAAGGGGCACAAAGACATTGCCTTGACTGCTTTTTCCAAGAGAATTGGAGCAAATTTGAAATGGGCATCTGTAATTTGGACCAAAACAGAAACTTCAGCTGAGAAAACAGGATTTGATTGAACGAAAACTAGAAGTTGTCGGGGTTGGAGGGTTTTAGGGGCAGGGTGAGGAGAGAGAGCTCGGTGATTGCCTTGGTGGGTACAAGGCAGAGTAGAGGAAGAGAGGGAGGAGAGGAGAAGCAGATGAAGAGAGAGAGGGAGAGAGGAGGAGGTTTGTGGAAGAGGCCATGGACATGGAAAGTGGGGTAGTTGCAGAGCCTTGGAAATGTGTGTATGCTGCAGATACGGAAGAGGAGACTTGGTTGAACAGGAAAAAATGTAGACTATTTTGTTGAATTAAAAGAGAAAAATAAAATAAAATAATTTTTGGGGAAATGGTTGAAGGTAGGAGGAGAAGCCGGCTGGGTTGGATTATTTAGGGCTGGTTTGGTATTGCTGTGCTTTGAAAAAAAGCTGCTTCTGCTGTGCTGTGAGAATAAGCAGCTGTGAAATAAAGCAGCAGAGTGTTTGGTAAACTTTTTTGTAAAAGTGCTTTTGAAAAAAAAAAAAGCAGTATTAGAGTGTTTGGTAAACTTTTATGTAAAACAGATGTGAAAAAAAGCTGGTTTTTCAAAGCTAGGTTTTGCAGCTTCTTGTTTTTGGCTTTTTTTCATCCAAAACTGTGAAAAAAAGCTGAAGCTGAGTGTTTACCAAACACAAAAACAGCTCCCAGCTTTTTTTGATAGCAGCTTTTTTCAGAATCACCTCAGTACCAAACCAGGTCTTACTACGACAAAACAACTGTTGCGTTGCAGCTTAAAACACCATTGGCGGGCCTACTTTAGTGGAGACGCATTTTGTTGGTAGAGATAAGACTGGGCATGAGCACTACAGGTCAATGATTTTTTTTCTTATTTGTGACTCAGATGTTTTAAGTTTGATTATTATCAAATACGAAGTTAAATTACATTATTATAACTAGCTTAGTATAAGGCTTAGTTTACCTACAACCCCATAACATGATTTGTTAGAAAATAAAAAAGTGGGGATAGAATTCAACGATTCAATTGCAATAGTTATAATTAGTTATTTGGACATTTAAATATATGGTCAAAAAAAAAATTTGTTGTTTATGTTGTGACGCAATATTTTCATTGTAACTGTCGTGGTGAAAAAGTTGTTAATTAAAATCCCATAGTGAGTCTCGTTAGCAATTGAGGTTCAAACCTAAACTTTCGTTAATCTACCGTTAAACAAACTCACATGACTATCATGTGGACAGATTAAGTTTGTCATTTCAATCCAAATTAAGGCTGCCATGGACATCTAGTATGACTTAGGGTTTAATTGAAATGGATTTCAGGGAAAAAGAAGCTTGAATGACGTCGAATTGTGAAGCTAAACCTAGAAATCCACGTCAATAGCTTGAAGAAGAGGTGAAGGTGAAGTTGCGCCTAATTTCTTAGGTATAGTTTCGATTGAAAATCAAGAGGCTTTTGATAAACCATTGTTCATTGAATTGCCTACCGCGTTTTTTATCAGGAATTGAACTCATGTGCAAACTAAATCTAATCAAGAGCAGGAAGATAAATTGGCTTTTTTTTTGTCACAAGATGACATGTAATCCCAAAATAGGATAGAATTGGAATACTGAGAAGGTTATTTTTAATATCGAGTGTATTAAAAATTATGTGGTTTCCTAATAAAAATATAAAATATAAAATATAAAAAAAAAAAAGCCTTTTTTTTTTTTTTATCAAAACATTTTATTGTGTAACTTTAAAACTAAACAATCTTTTGGTAAAATAAAACAATTTTTTTTTTGTCAAGCAATAAATTGACGGGGCTTGAACCTATACCGTCGTGCAAGAGCAATACTTTTGTTTACTATTTTGGTAGATAGCTACTTGCTAAAATAAAACAATTTTAAGCAAAATTATAGTGTTAATTAAATTAACCACTAAAACTGAGTCCATCTCAACACGGAGACTTAAAATAATCTTGTCTACGACAAGCTATATTTTTGTATTTTGTTTTCATCAATTTGATCCATGTTTGGTTTTGTTGCATTATTATTTTCAAATTGTGGTAATCTCTCGTTTGACAAAAAAGATAAAATAAATTTATTTCTAAGAAAAATATTGTTGCGGAATCAAAAGACCATGTAGGTTCATTTTAATTTTGCAAGTGGAATATTTTCTTGGTAAATAGTCTTCTTTTTCAACTTACTAAACAACGTGTTCAAACAATTTATCTTCCTCTCAGTAAAGCTTAAAGTAATAATATTATTTGTGATTAAAAAGAAAAAACTAAAAAAAACCATTTAACTTGATTCGATTTGACGAGTTTAAACAGTTGAGTAGGTTTGAGTCGTTTGACGTTCTTCTACCCATTGTGGATGAGTAATTGAGTATTTTTAATTTGGCAGCATGGGTCTACAATATTACATAATTTACCAAAGTTGATGTGACATGTGGTCCACTTGCTACCCAACATTAATTAGTACACGCATTTGAAATCTGGTAAAAATGTAGGTAATAAGCTTTAAATTAGTCAACGGTCTTGATTGCGCTTTACGACCGCCGTATCATTAGATAACAAGATTACTCCACCACCACCGCCCAGGAAGGCGGAGGAGGGAATTCTCTTTTCAATTCAATCGAAAGGCCAAAAATATAAAGAAATATGTAACAATTTAAATGGCAACACCAAATAGCTTCATAACTTCAAAGACTACACAATAAAAGCCAATGACTAATGAGGTACCACTAAGTGAAGGGTTGGTTTGACAAAAATACTTTTACAAAGGTAGTCGCATAATCATTCATATGACAATTTAACGAGAATATTGAAAGAAAATTGATTTACAGTGCAGAAACCTAAGGACCACTCCTATTAATTTTCATTGTCTAAGACCAAACTAAGGAGGCATTGCCAATCTCAAAGACCATTTTGAGTAAAATCAAATTATTTTCTGCCACAAGGCCAGCAAAGAACAATCTTCTTTTCCGGTGCATACATTGAACTGGATCCCGGCACCCATCACTCTCACAAACGACGGTTTAGCAGACAGACAGGAATGGTTTCTACGACTAAAATCACATACAAGGCTAGCTCATAAAACCTTGTATCAAAAGTTACCATCTTCAGCTCAGGTGATACTATGGAGATATTTGACTCACAAAATGCTCTTGACATAGCAAACTCAATTATATATATATATGTATATATGGGTAACCTAACACAAAAAGAGGACCAAGAAGAAGAATGGTGTCACTCGTACAGAAAAATATAACCAGCAGTAATAAGGATTGTCTCAAATAGCTATCGTAATGTCTTTCCTTTTTATACACAGAATATTTCACTGCTACAAATTACAATTCGGGTGAGAACAGACATCAACCTAGACAGATGTTACGCGTTTCAGATAAAGCAGTAAAGTTAGCCGTTGATACAACAAAACAGGAACAAAGGAATCGTATATACAATCTCTTCCTACCGTGGACATGGTATCATATCGAATGTGCCACGAAAACTGAAAAGCATAGCTGTTTGCAAGCTACTGGCAGACATATTATATCATTGTTATTATGCAAAGAACTAATCTATCACTACTTTTTACCTTTAATCCACATTTTTTCAGCACGTGAATTCACCTTCTTCACAATATGTAGTCAGTTCAGAAGTTATTCTGCACATAAACCAAAATCCACAACGATGCAAATAGTCTTACCAAACAAGAAAATATTCAACACTTAACAATTTACCGACTTAAATGGCAACACCAAAAGGCAAAGTTATCAAAAATTTGAATTCAAAAACTACACATTGAAGGCCGATGATTTATAATTTTACACTGCAGTGCCACTCAAGTGCCCAGATTTGGTGCGTGGCTTGCTATTGGCGCGCCATGTGAATATCTCCACTGATCACATGCTGAGCATTTCTCTAACTTCACACAGTTTTCCAAAGTGCAGAATCTACAGGACCAGAATTTATAATTTGAACCAACATCCTTTGGTTTCATTGTGTTACAAACCTCGCATATTGGAGCTAACGGCTGCATTGTTCCACCCATCATTCACACATGCAAAACAAGTACATTTCAAGTTTGAAACATTAAGTGTATAGATGAAATTTGCAACAATAGAAACAATCAGTAATATCATTCTTTTGAGAAACTCAAAAGGATATAATTTGATTAAATGAGACTGAAATTAAGATAATTGGAGATGCGCTATGAATTAGAAATAGAAACACTTACGGGATTCAATAAAGTGCACGTTCCACACTGCCAAAGAGCAGTTGCTTCTGGGTTATGTGTTCCTTCATTATTAGACATGGAGCCAGAAGATGAAACGCCCAACATATCCTCTACACTAGATCTAGAATTATGATTAGAATGAAATATTGAACTGTTTTCTGATTCTCGACTTCTCTTTTGCGGTGTGATGTCACAATCGATCATGGACTCAGATATTGAGTCATCCCTCAATAAATCTACAAATTGGTAACCTAAATTGGATTTGGAAGACTGCAAATGACTATTGGTATTTAGTTCACGACTTCTTTTCCCCAATAGTTTATCTGAGGAATGTGCTTTCACACCACTGTGAGTCCCCAATAATTTATCTGAGGAATGTGCTTTTGCACCACTGTGGGACATTGAACTTCCTGCATTTGGCCTTATATTTTCATAGTTCTCTGATTTATCTGATTTATCAGAGCTGCATTCTCCATCCTTTGAAGCTTCAAAAGACACCGATCCACACCAGATATCGTCCTGCCATCTCCTCTCTGCAGCCATTGCAGCAGCTTGCACCGGACTAAGTGCTGACATAATACTGTTATCACCACCAAGACGCTTAGGTCCAGATGACATCAGGGATCCCAAAAGGACTCTCTTTTCTGCAGCAGCAAGTGCAGTTTTCCGGAGAGAAGAAAGAGGAGGCGGACGTGAAAAACCCAAACGTTTCCCTGGAAGATCAAACCCCTCTCCACTGCCAGTTATTCCCTTAGCCATCAGCTCCTCACATTCCTGTACAGACACAAAGATTCAAAAAAGGCAACATGTCTATATAAATGCTAAAACTAACGAAAGGCCAACATAGAACACCTTTCGAAGTTCATCCCATAGCTTGTAGAACTTGGCATCGTGAGGGCCATGAATATTGTGACAAAGCTCGTGAAGCATTGTGTCAAGAACTTGATCAAAGGGATAAAAATCCGTATCCTTGTTCGGCCTACGCAGCCTCAGCTTCACGTGCACGCCGCGGTTCACGTTCAACCCCAGAAGACGAGGGTTGTTCGGGCTGTAACATCATCAAATAATTTACATCACTTGATGCCCACAAAAAGAATCAACATTTTGGACATACAAAAAAACAAAAACTTCATTTGTGAAAATTTCAAAACGTCACTCCAACTCCATATCATCGCTGTAAATTCAAAATGCAGCAAACATATACCCAATAAACAAATCAAAACACTTTCTCGGAATCCAAACATTGTACTGCCTAGTTTGCAACCATTTTCTCAGCAACCAAACAGAAAATAACGACTAAGGAAGGAACAATAAGAAGGCTTGCAAAGTACCAGAATTCAGAGAGGATCTTGACGCGCCATCTGTGATTGCGCATAATGGGCTGGACCTGTATGGCAATTTTCTCGAGAATCTTCCTGGCTTCATCTTCCCGATCCTTTCTTTTCAGAGTTTTGATTTCCCACACCTTGTTCAGGTCCCCCAGATTCATCTTTCTGAGATCAATTGAACATTTGAGGAAACCCCTTTCTGAATTTGAACCCTACTAATTAATCCCTAATTTCGAGGTTTGGGGTTGGAAATTTGAAGAAATTGGGAATTTTGCCCGATTTCGAGGAAGTTGGCGCGCTTTTGAATGTATCGCACATTCGCACGCGTGCTCGTTTTGATACAAGGTTTTCGATGCATACTGATATTTTGAGGTGACATGATCCGGTTTAAAAAAATCGGTTTGATTTAATTTCGGTTTGAGTATGAGGTGTATTTGATTTTATAATGTCTTTAGTGTTGTAAATAGTGTGAATGTTCATTGTAAATGTGAGCAGAAGTACAATTCTTACATTTACAACGTGATCAAAGAAAGTAGTTTGATATGTTTGTTAAGTTAAAAGACACTTTGCCTATGAAACAATCATCTAAGCAAAAGAGAGGAAAGAAAGAAATCGAACGGAAGAAAGAAAAGATAGAAGAGATGCAGAAGAAAAATATCAATGAGTTACCAAACTCAGAGAGGAGAGAAAATAATGTAAGTTATTTTGTACTCTTATTATTTCAGATAATGAAATAAAGTACTAATGCTAGATAGCACTTGCCAAATTTCATAAATATTTTGTTTTATTTATTTTATATTTCACTACACACATCACGTCGATCTCAAAACATTTAAGGTTTTTTTTTCGGAGGCGACTCATGTGATGTGCTTTGATCACTCCCTTCATGCAATTCACGTATTTTTTTAACTGATACACATGCCCTTAACATCTCATACTTTTGCATTAAGATGAGTCAATTTAGCTTCAAGCAAGTTGATAATTGGAGATAGCAGTCGGACCGAATACTTTTGGTTCTAATAAATTTGTGAAACGATTGGTTGAATTAAAGCTAAAAAAACGTAAAAGAACCCTTTTTTTTTTGTTTAATTTGATAGGTTACTTTTGGTTCTAATAAATTTGTGAAACGATTGGTTGAATTAAAGCTAAAAAAACGTAAAAGAACCCTTTTTTTTTTGTTTAATTTGATAGGTTTCATTTTATAGTGATTGGGAGCATTCGATTTAATAATTAACTGTAGCAACAAGAAATGTTACTCTCTTATAACCGAATAGTCATGAATTTGAGTCATGAGTTCGAGTCCTGGAAACAGTATGTTGGCAACGTAAAGATAAGACTCCGTACGATAAATGTTCACCTCTCCCTCCCTCCCCTCCTCATCCAATCCCGCAAAACAGAGAACCTTGTTGGCTTAGGGTCGCCCTTTTAGGCTGTAACAATAGAGGAAATACAATAATCCTAAATTTGTCAAAAAAAATCCTAAATTTGTTAAGAAAAAAAAAACTAAAAAACCAAATCAAACTAAACCAAACCAAATCAAACCGATTCATTCCGATTGTTGGTGGTTTAACCAGTCGTATTTGGCAAAAAATCCTGCCCCATAGCTAGTCTAGGCTTAAGCTGAGGCCAATGTAAGTGGGGGTTCTGGTTCGACCCAACCTTATACTTTCAGAGCCCAAACCCCAACCAAGGTAAAAATGAAATGACAGGGTGGCTAGTTTGTTTTTTGGTCAAGTATAGGGTAGCCATGTGATTGGTCAGTAAAAACACCAACTCTCTCTCTCTGCTCCAAACACTCTGTCCGTCTCTGTCCCTCTTCTCTCTATCACCTTCTCTGCTACATCAAAATCCCATCTTTTGGGTTTCTTAATCTCGTGCGTTATATAACCCAGTTATTTTTCCTGGAAAATTAGAGCCAGAAAGCGTAAAAACCCGTGTTTGGATTTATTTTGATAGTTTTGGTTTGAGGGTGTTTGTGGGATCGGATTGGTTTTTGCTTCAGAGGGTATAACAATGGCGGGAATAGCAATAATCCTTGATCTGTTGAGGAAAAACCCAAGTCCTAGTACAGTCCAAGCGTTACACTCTGCTGGGTATTTCTCAGCCAAAGCCGCCGCTTCTGCCGCTGCTGCGTCTGTCGCCGCCGGTGCTCCATATGCTTATAAGGCACTATTTGGGTACTCTCTCCATCTCTCTCTTTGTCTCTCCCTAAGTTGCTTTTATAATTATTTGATATGGAGTTTGGAGATGTAGACATGATATAAGTGAGTGGTATCGCTTATCGGTGCATTTATATTTGAGAATCGGAAATTGGTGGGTTGATTATTTTGTTAATTACCCATTAGTATACATGTTATTTGTTGTATGGTCAGTATTGGAATTTGATCATACCCTGAAACTCAATTTAGGGTAGGTTTCATATTGATTTGGGATAAACTATAGGATGTGAACAAGTTTGAGTGCGGATAAAGGTTCACTCAGGCTGTTTTTCCGGTTGAACATTTCAGGGAAGTTCTAAACTTATCAAAGTTATAGGGGTGGCCTTTATGGTTTTGGTTGATTGTGTTTGATTTGATTAATAACTTTCTGAGGTATAGTACATTGTTGGAATCTTTTATGGTTGAAGCTGAAGAAAAATTATATTCGGGATTGTTATTCCGATGTAGGTAATGCAAAATCTTGATATCAGGACACCAAAACTTTGGCGCCAGTGGGTTTTATTTTCAGTTGTTTCGGTCCTTATATTCTTTCTTGAGCTTGCTGCATACACTTGACATCAATTGGTCGTGTAATATTTCCCTTTTCGTACTTTCCCTTGTCAATCTTATCTCTTTATAACTTTGAGGAATGAAGATACCTCATATTCTTTGTTGTCAGCCGGCGTTTGACTATGTACTAACTTTTTAGTGCTATGAAACAGTAATTTTAGGGTACCGGTTGCCTATTGCGATGCTGGGACAGCATGGTCTGAAGATTATGTTTCTAATATACGAAGTGCATCTCAACGAATCTTTCAGAGTGACTCTCTGAATTACAGTACCAAGGAATACAAAATTGAGTTAAAGCCTCTATTCTCAGCTTTTGAATGGAGGACTCTAACTATGACATCCGTGAGGTCATTTTTAATGTTCTTTTTACCTCTTCTGGAGCCTCGTACAAACTTGGAAGAGGATGATGATGACTTCCTGTCGGACACTGAAGAAGTGCAACCTGTAGATTATGTTGTTCCTCTTACAAAATCAGTAGTGCAAATTATTCGTGAGGTGAGTTGTTTTGCCTGAATTCTTGTTTCTATTTTGAATTTAGTTGAATGAAATTCCGATCATACACAATGTCCTGAAATAAGTTCCGTTGGTTCCATGGTGTATCTGAACAGTGTTTTTTGGGCTTAAAAACTGTAATGATATTTTTTTACACTTTGTTGGTCATAACACCAGACTAGGATATGCCTCAGATGGTTTGACTCAAAGGTTTTGTCTGTGAAGGACTCATTTGAATGAAGATACCTCATTTGGAAATTATAATATCCTGTGAGGGCTTGATAACATTAATCTTGTGGGATGCCTTTCTGAAATAATTATACTTATTAATCAACATGTACTACGCATCATAAGCAGCCACAACAGTTATTAGCAGTTTATGGATCTTTGAAGGTGGATTACACGTTAACAGAATTATGTGCTTATTTTCAATTTTTTTGTACTTGTAAATCAGTATGTGCTGCTTGTCTGCACCATATATAATAAGTAGCCACGAGAGTTGTTTGAAATTTATGGATCTTTTATGTAGATAAAAATTTACGGAATTATGTGTTTAGATTTTTTTCTCTTGTTGATGTGTGTAGTTCTGCTGGTTTATAGACCAGATGCAAGTGTGTACCACTAATCACATTTATTCTGAGAATCAATTTGATCACGAAATAAGATAGCTCTGAAAATGTGATGGAGATGTCCGTTAGTTGTCAAATCAACACCCAGTTGATTTGCTTCTTCGCATTCACATATTCGTTTCTTTTACCTTCTGTATTTACTTTTTAGCACAGGATAATTTCTTTTACCTTCGACACATAGTTGCTCTCTCTCCCTCCCACCCCGCACAACACACAAGACAGCTTTCACCTGAAGCAGTTGTAGGGTTTTTTTTTTCTTTTTTTTCTCAACTGTAATTACTTAAATAAACAGCATAGAAAGTTTTGCACTTCTCAGGATTGAAACTTATTCTTGTACGCAACAAAGCTTTGCATCTTCCAGTTGAGTTACTTTTTGCATCCATTGCAGACTACTGTTGTAACCACGAGACGGATTCTGGAACGAATTTGTGTCCATTATGTTTCAGAGAGAATGGCATGGAAACTTCTCAAAGGTACTTTCTTTCCATAAAATTTAAATCTAGTTCTGTTTGAGAAGAATAAGTTCAAAAAACAAGTGTTACATATGATAAATTTAGTTAGCTATGTGTTTTGCTTCTTCAAAATATGCGAGTGACTGACATACAAAATTTACAGATGTTCCTAAGTCCGCCACGAGGAAAGCTGGAAGAAGATTGCCTACTTTAGTTTTCTTCTTCAGTGTTAGCAAAACAACTTTTAGAGGTAATATTCTAATTCATGTATTCTATTGAAATTGAAAGAAAAAATTGTGTGGTCTCGTTGTTGTTGGTTGGTTGAGCTTTCAGTCTCACTGTGCCTTTCATGTTTATTGTTTACTCAGGACACTTTCTAGGTGTGGCAGCGTCGTGGCTCGTCCAAGTGGGCATTGAAATCTACCGATATTTTTCTCATACGATAAAGTCTAGGGAAGAGGTTGATGACATTGATACGGCAGAAAAAGCCAAGATTCTGGGGAAGAAGGTTACAGTTACTACTCTCCGGTGTGGTGCATCACTAGTTTTTGCTTCCATTGGGGCAGGTATTGGTGCCTTGCTCATCCGCCCTTCATCTGGCCAGTGGATTGGTAAGTGATTTTCTAATTTGTCTATATCCATTGGTAAGTGAATTGTCTATACATGTATATAATTTTTCTTTCTTTTTTTTTCGCAGGCTGTCTTTTGGGGGATTTGGCAGGGCCTTTTATTGTAACAGCTTGCCTTGGGAGAGTTTACCACGCAGAACTTTGAGCACCGGGGATGACTTGTCTGACGTCCTTGCATTTGTGCAAATTTTAGAGGTTTAGACGAGACAATTTTCATTGTGCGATGGTAGAGTTCTTAACAGCTATACCACCTTGAAATCTATTAAAGCGGGCGGTAAAGGAGAAGTTTTTGCAACAGTTTCTCCTTTCTGGAATCATGTCATTCCGTTTGTTTACGGTGAAGTTTGTCAAATGGTGTTTATACTTTGGTGTTAATTATCATGATTTGTGTGATTTGGTGAATAATGAACTCTGCATTGATTGCTTGAACTGCATATATATGCCAATTTTTCTCATGGCTTTGTGGCCAACTTTTTTAATTGCGCTGTTTGGTCCCAAAATTTAGTCATTGTCAATATTTAGCATTATTTTTATTTTTACATTTTTACAAGCGATATTAAGGGTAGGATCGAACGGACATTGAGTACATGATGAATGCGGTTAACTACTTGAACGGCAAGCTCCTTGACACGATTATATTAAGTGTCCCAGATCATGGCAACTGATACTACTCCGATTCCAAACAACACAGCCAAAAACTTGTAGTGGGGAGTGTCAACAGAGACTGACTTGTGAGCTGTATAACCCTTTGACAGCAGATGGTTTATGGATACATATATGAACACGCCGCATGCCAGACCTATCGATATGGCAGAGATCCAATCTGCTGTTCTACCTTGAGTTGTGGCATCTATCATGATCCCAACTCCGATACCAATTGGACTGGAAATGGCAAACAGAAAAGCATATGCCGCGCATGATAAGAAGGGACGGTCTGGAATCATTCGGAGGAGAGCAATGGCCATGGCGATGGCTGCAAAGATTTTGTGCAGACTGACCGTCCACAGAGCCTTCCAAGCTTCAGCTTTCGTGCTGGCAACTCCGATGGCGATACCCTCAAAGAAAGAGTGGAAACACAAGGCTACGATCAACAAGATGCTATCCCCAACTGAACCAACTGTTGCAGGGTGGTCACCATGAACATCATGGCCCTGCAGTCAAAGCATACATTAAATAAAATATTCTCTCAGTTTTGGAATCACAAACTAGACAATCTAACGTGTTATGTTGCGTCTTGAGATTGAGGTCCGTCTGGGAATGCTTTTGAAAAGCACGCCCAAAGCGTTTATGATCATGTTTGGCAAAAAAAAGTTAAATACTTTGCTAAAAAGAGAACTTGCATATTTATTAAATATTTCTAAACAGCGAGTGTTTTTTCTTTAAGAAGCAATTTCTGAAGAGTCATGAATTAGGACCGCCGATAAAGTTATATTCCGGTTCAGTTTTATTCAATTTGAAAACCATAGCATATTGAATATGTGGCGATATACCAAATTTCTGCTAGTAAGTTAGTAACTTGTATATTCTACTCAGATAATATAAAACCTACGTATCTCACCTTTTGAACGGCCTTTCCTGTAACATAACAAGAAAATCATAAAATCAGAATCTTCACCGAATCGAAAGAACTGAAAACAAAATGGTTAGCAAAAGGTTCACAGCCTATAACAGTGCTTAGCAAGAGCACATATCATTAATTAGCACCTACTTTGAACTTCAGGGTCACTGTCCTTCTGCTTAGCATACACATATGAAACCACAGAATCCGCAAGCATGGTGATCAAGAACCCCAGGCTCGCCATCATATATGCAAAAGGGTATTCCTTCTCAGTCAAGCTTTCGAAAGCCTTGTTTGAATCACTTAGAAAGTGCATGAGAGCTGTTCCCAGAAAAATACCGCCAGCAAACTGCGTTCCTAGAACCAGAAACCCCTCGTTCCACTTTAAGAAGTAGGGAGACATTCCGGCTGCAAATGTCCCAACAAAAACCAAAACCATGCACCATATCTTTACGAGCATTAGAGGCTTAGAGTGAAGGCTGCGAGCGTCGTTGTTCTTGTTGGTTTCATCACCGTCGTCGCTGCTGTAGGCCAAGGTGGAGAGGGTGAGGAAGAGGAAGAGAGAAAGCTTGAGAAGATTGTTGCCAGCCATGTTGTACTGGTGCATGATAAAGGTTCAAGGTTTGGATGTGTTATTATACAACTGGTGTTTTGGAGTTTACCTTCGCTATATTCGTACGAGTAGTAAAAAAACAACAATCAGTGACTAGTCTGAAATTGATTTAAAGCATTTCTTTTTCTTTTACCTGTTTTAAAAAGCATTTTTGGTCTTACCAAATCGAAGCATGCAGTCTTACTGTCTTAGGTCATATAAATAATTTAGGAGAATCTGATCCTTGTTGTGATTAAAAGAAGCAAATGCAGTTATCACCATGAGACAACATTTCATAGATGAAAACTACGTTGGCACCTAATCGGGCTCTGATTGGTGCAATTGGTAACAAGTCAAAGACAAGAAAGCAACGGGAAAAAATAGAAAACAATTGGTAACTTTTAGGTTATCGTTATTTATATTTTTATATTTCATGTTATTTATATTTATATTTTAATTTCATGATTCTTCTTTTTCTAAGTCTACACTAGTTCATTTTAACATATTTCAGTGCAAATATTTAGGTACACTAATTCATTATTAATATATTTTGGTACAAATAGGTATATAAATTCACTACAATATAATTCGGTACAAACATTTAGATATACTAATTAATTATAATATATTTCGGTACAAACATTTAGGTACGTACATTTAGACACATTAAATCCTCATAACATATTTTGGTACAAACATTTAGGTACAGTCATTCGTGTACACTAATGTATTTAAATATTTTTCTTATGGGTCATCAATTTCTTTTAATGTTCTTTCATTTAAGTTTATTTATAATTTGTAGAACTAAAATGTGTATATTAATAAAATCAAAATTTTAATGTGAAGACATTAAATGAAAATACACATTGCATAACGAAAATAGAATACTAGTTTACAGTATTGAAGTGTATCTTAGTAGGTATCAGACCTTGCAGCCGTTAAGTATAACAAACTAACCTATCTGTCTATAGAGAACTTCTTCTGCAAGATCACTGTCATCTTCTCTTTTCAATTTCTCATTCATTGCAAGTGGTATACTCACAGACTTGCAATCTTTCAAACCAAATTTGTCCAAAAGTGCATGATCATACTTCTTTTGATTAATAAAGATGATATACTAGATTTCATTTTGTTTAGTGAAACTGATATTTTGTTCATCATTTTCAGACATCATGGCATAGTATGCAACTGTATGCTTGGCTTGAATGTGCATGTGATTGCAAAGCACAAATGCGAAAAGATTATGCATTTGGATTTCTATAATTCTGCATCCAGTTTGACTAATAGTTGTCTTTGGAGAGAAGGTTGTTGTATCCTTGTTTCAGTGGTCAATGTGCTTCTTTTTGGAATCAAATTGTTGTTATCGACACTCAAAGTGGGAGAATGTAAGATTAATGTTGAGTTGTCAATTGTTATGAATCGAATTACTTGAAAGGATGATCACTTCAAGTTATGTGAATTTTAACGTGATTCAATATTGATTAGCAAGAATTATGGAAACAAGAGATACTTTAATTGACTATTTGGAACCCAAATTAAGACAGACATATTGTACATGCCTTGGTGGGACAACATTTTAATTTAATAGTGATTTGGCATATCTCTCTATTAGCTATACTAGGTGGTTTTAGAGGAACCCTAATCATTATATTAAGGGTGTCCTTGCTTATACAATATACACGTTTGATTCTAAGCAAACCCTATTATTGCTGGAACACTTTCGTTTGCTAACAGTAGAAGACTCTTTTATCATCTGCAGGAGCTATGTCTTTCGTATTCTACGAATAAGTTTATTTCTATTTCATGTTGATTTAATTTATCGCATTTGTGATCCTAATATCTTGTTGTTGCCGTTGTTCTTATGATTTCAGAAAATATCTTACTACTCTCACACACACTAAATGAGAGAGGAAAGTGACGGGGTTACAAATTTGCACATTTCACACGCCTCACACACTCATGTACCTTACACGAGTAATATTAAAACAAACTTAGCTGCTATGATAGCTGGTACAATCCTAACCTATGAGCTAGCCTACTCTCAGCCAGAGAAAATCTCGGTTAATAGAAATGTGGTGGTAGTATTTTAACAATTGAAATGGACATGAGGAGTTCAAGAGATGAACACCACAGATAGGAGGAGAATTCAACATGAGGATAATTAAGTCTTTTCAACTTCAATTTTAGTTAATTTTATAAGAATAAAAAAAAATGCTATATTTCATTAGGTGGTTATCAAAATGACTATTTTTCTAAATTTTCCTTACTAAAAAAAAAGGGGAAACTAATATTTCTCATCTCACTTTAACCTGGAAATAGATTCTTAATAACACCATCAAGTAAAAACAGAAGGAGAAAGCTGGAAAATGGGAAGTCCGTCTGCCCCAGTGGATTGCGATTCACCCAAGCTCAATTTATGCACCCTCAACTTGAAGCCACTTTTAACCGAGCTCAAATATTCTGCACTCAGTTTTACCAATATATATATATTCTGCATTCAAAATGAGCGTGATCTTTGTGAGCTCCAGTTATTGACTAACACGTGTTTGTTTATAAACTTATCTTTTTTTTACTTTGTTATCATAAGACTTAATATGTATCAAATAACAATTGGGGCCATAAAGAGGCCACACCCATTTTGAGTGCAGAAGATTTGATCTGCTTTTCACCTTCATTTGAGATGATTGGTGTGAAGAAGAATCCTAATGGTCAAATGTATACCTCTCCTGGTGTCTTGGCCAAGGTTTTGTGGTGGTTGCCATTTGTGGTGTTGTATCTATCTTTTCTTTTCTTTGTGGCTGATGCAGGGAAGTAGGCTCAGGTGACAAATAATCCAGACAACGATGGATGCCTTCATGCTGTTCTTCCCGTCTAAGGGCATTGCTTGCTTGATGATTCTAAAGATATTTGTGGCTAGCATTTTTCACTTTTTTCAACTTTTTCTTTTAACAGACGATATTATCAACAATAAAAGATGGACGTGACCTCACAATGGATTAACAATAATATAGTTCAAATTCACCTTTGACGAGAATCGAACTAAACCTTTCCACTTACAAATGAAGAAAAATACTACTAGACCGTAGTACTAAGTGGCTTTTGTTCAACTTAATTCCCAAAGAAATCCAATTGTTCTTTTGTTTAACGATCAAATATCGGGCTAGCATTTTTAGTATACATTTTCTGTGCACTCATTGTGAATTCTAATTTCTACAAACCCAAAAGATGAATCACAAAGTCTGCAGGTAAAACCCAAAAATCACCGGACAAGTTATTTACATGAAAATACAAGTAAATCAGCCCGAAACATGCTTCTCAATGGATGCTGGAAAACACAAAAATAGCCGAGTAACTTTTGAGAAACAAGTTACAAATCATTTATTCCATTCCGGGGTGTTACAAAATAACAATTGCTGTGAGCAAAAATTCTGCTGTTTGTAGAAATTTATGGCCAAAAAATACGATGTCAACAGCAGAGCAGTCACATATAGTAACGTTAAATCTATGCTGCAAAAGAATTATGATCAATTCCAAATTTCTTGGTAGCAACTTTAACACTGACTCGAAAATCATTTCGCCAGTTGTACTTGAAAACATCACCTAGTCTTTACAATATTCTTGACTCGGCATCCTGACCTCAACGTCTCCATAATCGACCCTGCTGCTTCTGATTTTGCATCCGCCTGCAATGTCATTACAGTTCTGTTCAGCATTATGGCAACTTGTAACATTTTCTTTTTAAGAACAAATTTTTATTGCAAAGAAGCAAAGTTTTGTTAGAAATTATGGCAACTTGTAACATTATAAAGAGACAGATTCTCACATCGCACAATAATAAAATCAGTCGTATAAGAATTATGCAAGGAATCTCAGACATGTCTTGCAAGTACGAATAGGAGAGCATCTTCTCTCAACAGTAATACAGCTAATGTGTGGTTAATCACTAACGTAGAATTAAGTGAATCAACATGAACATGACACAGTTGACCTTTTTAATTACAAAGATTAAACACAAAATGAAGACTTACTGTTGATGCTCTTTAGATCGCCTAATGAACTCTGCAGGAATATCACGCCCTTCATATGATTCCAATACTTGCCTGATATCTACTGGAGGATTACGGGCAACAACTGCACATAAACAAAGCACAATGAGGCGGTAATGCATTTCTCACGAGCTTCAGGAGCTGAATTAACACAAATGATGGGAAGTCAACTGGTGCTAGAAGAAATGAAAATCACATGACTTACACTCAAGAAATGGTATGAAATCCACAAGAGCTGTGTCATCCAACTCATACTTATATGGCTTTATTATGGCACCATTTTCGGGCTGGAGACTATTTTCTCGTGCATGGGCACTCAGATAGATGATCTTTTTTGGATCTCGGTTAAGTTTTGAAAGGTCCTGCCAAGAGAAACTAAATCTCATATCTTTACCAATCACATATATCGAAACCAGATATAGAACATGAACAGAGAGGAAATTGGTTTGGAATCAATGCACATTCGAGTTTATCAATTATTTCACGGTTTGACATGGCACACCAGTAAACTTCTTAGTTGCAGGATCGTTAATTGTAGTAACATAGCAATCAGCTTAGAGATGCTGCATTGGCAGGGGCTAGAGCCACAAACCGTACAAAATAAATACCACGCTAAAGGATCATTGCAAAGATATAAATCAACAAAAAGGTACACAATAGAGGAAATCGAACATCATGTAGTGAAACAAAATTCCCAAAAAACTGACCCTATAATGTTGTCCATTCTGATACTTAGTGGCAGCCTTTCCCAGCCTATATCTTACAAAATTCTTGGTGTCCAGTCTCTCCATTACAGGATCTACATACTACATTTACCAAGAAACAGCCCGATTCTGTCAGTAATTTAAAAAAGAGAACAAAAGGTAATGACGATGTATAAGTGAATTATTAAATACCATATTTGAATAGTCTGAATACACAATGATTTCATAAAACTGAGCAAGATGTTCCAAGAAGGCATCAACTCCAGGTCTTTTGATAGTCTGCCAGCCCTTTTCTCGCTTTATACGCCAAATAAAAAAAAATGGATGTCAGTAACCAAACCAAAATGACAAAAAAAAAAAAAAAAGAGCCTTCAAGGTCTGGACTGTAATGCTAAACACACTTTAGATGACATGAACAAATGGGGAAAAAATTAATTTCTTAGAAATCTTGAGATCACATAAACATGAAGTACCAAATAAATCTTCTAAGACCATGCTAAATCTTGCCAGCATAAGAGTGCAACGTCTTAAGTTGGAGACAAAATGCCTCCACCACCCTTACCGTCCAATAAGAGTACAGTAATGTCTCCTGGAGATCCAGAACAAGGGTAAAAACATGTTTCTCCATGGGATGCAAATCTGGGAGAAGCTTCTCTGCGTATGGTTCAGTATAACCCTATATAAGAGTAAGAAGAATTTGAGTCAAACAACAGTCAGCTCTTTAGACAAGAGTCACATCAATCAAACCACAACATTAGTCTGTGGAAGGAAGCGGAGAAAAAACTCTAAGAGAATAAAAAACACACTCGAATTTGTTCTTCAATCGTCCTCCTTGCATCAATGTAAGCTTCAGCTGCTTTAGCAGGCACTGAAATATAGGACAAAAAAGAATCAGCATACTATCAGTAACAACGTGAGAAATAATTGATCTGCTGCTAAACGTCAAGCTCATCAGGTGACAAGTTAAACCAAATAAGCTCTGTCAAATTTTATAGCCTAGGCGTGGGCATTAAAGAATATGTTTCATCAATATACCTTTTTGAAAATACATCATCAAAATATACATAAAATGGTTCAGTAAACAATTCATTTCTCTGTGATAAAGAGTTGGATCAAAAGATTAATGACTAGTTCTGTCATCTTCTGATGTTGGTTATAAGGTAACTATATGCTTAGTAGTTAACATATTTATACTACCAAACAAAAGTAAAAGCAAAAGATGATTGAGGTTAATTCAATACATTGTCTACACAACAGGCTCCAGAATAAAGTAAATTAACAGATGCCAACAACGATAAAAAGTTCTCAGACTGCGTAGTTGAGGACCTCACCTGTAACTGCAGAAGAGTATGCCCAATTTTTAAATTTCTGCAGAAGAAATAGATTGTTAAATGTTAGTCTACTGAAAACTCATCCCTTTCAGTTGTGGAGGTAATAATGATAATATAATGCATCATAAAAAGCAAAGCCAAACAACTTCATACGACGCGAACTAAATGCAACCTACTACTTATCTGTCTTCTGTAGCTGACAGATTAGAACACACTTCTATGACGAACAACTGTTAAAAGATTTAACTAATAAACAACCCAGTTCATGCAAGCTAAACCATAGAATATGTGTATACAAGACTGGATAGGCTGATTTGACTCCTTGAATAACAATCCTATATAAAGGCTTGGACCATTTTTTTTAACAAAATACTTTCCTTCATGGTTCAAGCCCTCCCACTGGACTGACCACAGCTAGCTAAAAGGTATTAGTACTTGGTCGAGATATCCCTGATTTTCACTTGAATCAATCAGATGACCGGGTCAAAGAAGTCGACCAAACACTAATGGCAGTTGAAAGACATCCTCTGTACAGGTCAGGAATTTTCAAGTCCTATGTGTCTAACACTCATATGACGTACATTAAACTCGCTAGAAATGAATTCAACATACTAAAATGACAGGATATACTTTCCAAACCATGTCAATCAAATGCTTAGACTATTTTCATCTAAAACTTGTTTCGCATCACAAAACAAAAGAAGCCGTACATTTCATTCTTTCCCTTCCTCATCTCTTCTTCAGGTTGAGTTACTTGAATATAATTGTTATTTTGCACTATTAAGTCATGCGGACAGCTAAGTAATTGTGTTCCTAAAACAAAGTTCCAAGTCATACTTACTTCAAGAGCGGATGCATCATCTGCCAACCTGATAGTTGAAGGTGCTGCTCGGAGAGCCTTGGTCTTTTCATCGATTTCTTCCAAAGAGTAAGCTGCAAAATGGATGCAATCCAAGATTCACTCTTTCACATTAACCAATATTACAAGCACAAAGAATAGCTGTTTGGCCGAAACCCACATCAAATTTCACTTCTACAAACCAAAAAGAAAAGGAATAAGAATGAGAAACCCAAATATCACGATCAAATCAAATCCCAAATCTTATAGTTCGACATTGTTCAATCAATTCGCCGACAAATACAAATTCCTCATCACAAATTAATCTAAAACGCCCAAACCCAAGCCTTTCTTAATCTTTTCAGCCAAAACCCACGTCAAATTTCACTTCAAAACCCTGAGAAAACACCAAGCAGTATAAAATGAACCAGCATTGCCAGAGCAGCATAGCTCATACCATACGAGACATAACCAACAGAAGCAGTGGCTCCAGTGATCGCGCCAATGAGCGAGTACTTGAGAAAGTTCCAAGATTTGCTACTTGAAGCGTTCGGAGCGGGAGTGCTTTGAGGTGGCGGTGGAGGTGGAGATGTGAGATCGGAGACTAGGGATTGGGCTCCGATGAGCGGTTCTTTGGAAGGGGTTGAAGCCACATCGGAGCTCAATAGGCGTCGATTGCGCTTGAACAGCCAGGAGACTGAACGGGACCGAAGCAGTATCGAGGACATTGCTAGGGTTTTAGAGAGGTTTTGGTTGTGATTGCTGTGGTTTGGGATTGGAGTAGGGTTTTGAGGAGAGAGAGAGGGATGGAGAGGGAGACGCCCGGGGGGGGAAGGAACAGAGAAGGAGAGACAAGGGGCTGTTTGGGTGTTGGAATGGAATTTGTTCGGAACCTTCGAGGGGTTATACGAGGGATGTTTGGACGTCGGTTCTTCTTTAGTTGTTTCTAGTTTAGTCAAGAAACTCTCTGTTTGGCTTCCGACTTGCATTGCCTTGATTTTTGTGTTTGTCCAAAATTCAAATTGTTTTCCAAAAAAACAAAATACACATTGTACACGTCATGCATGTTAGTCTACATTTTTTTGTGTAGGATTAGCTTGGATATGTATTAAAATGTGGCACTTGTATTTTTTTTAAGTGAAGATAAAAAAAAATAGATTAGATATGAAGAAAACTAATCCCTACTAAGCCTATAAAAATGACAAGATTGCGAGGGATACGTTCTTCCTATGACTAGTTCATCTTCTATTTTCACCTGGACAAAAAAATTGTGGAAAAATGCTTACAATCAATAAAGTTGTATTTTCTCAAAATATTCTCCATGTAGTGTGACTGATCAAGAAAAAAACCATCACATTTTTTGAATTTTTCATTTCCAAAATAAAATTAGCTTCACTAAGATCCTTCATATCCAAGAATATTTTTTGTTTCATTAATCACAATAAATTTGAGCCAAAAATTAATAAACCATCAACATAGACGAGAATAATTACATGTAAATCATTTCACGATTTATAATATATGCACTTGTCACTCTCATTACTTTTATAATCATTGTTAATCATGCATGAATCAAATTTTTACGCCACTGTTTAGGTGTCTGCTTTAAACCATGAAGAGATTTAGTCAATTTGCATGCTTAGTTCTCTTGGCTAGGTTCAACAAAACATTTGGGTTGGTTCATATAGATTTCTTCATTTAAATCTCCATTCAAAAATGAATAAAAGTAATAGCAATTAGCAATTTAATAGATGGTACTCTAATACCTGGAAAAAAAACAAAATATCATAGAAATATAGATCAATTTTTTGTTTAAAGCCTTTGCAACAAGTCTAGCTTTAAGTTTATCTACACTTCCATCTAGTTCTCGTTTCTTTCTAAGCACCCATTTACACCGTATATAGTTTTACAACGTAGTGGTAAATCTACCAGTTTCCAAGTATTATTGGAAATTAGTAGTTCTATTTCATCATTAACACCTCCTTCCCAAAAAGCAAAAAATAGCATAAGGTGTGGTTAAAGCACCCTTCAAATTATGTGAATTTTCCTCAACATTATAAACAAAATAATCTGGGCCAAAATTTTTTTGAATTCTAATTTTTCACTCCTTGGTTCAATCTCAATGTTTTCTTCATCCTTAAAATTAGGAGCAGAAGAATCAGGTTTATATAAATTATTTTGTTGCCCCCATTATTTTTATTTTTAGAAGGAAATTTTTCTTCGTCAAAGATAGCATCACATGATTCTATGTTCACATTATTTTCAATATTAAGAAATCTTTAAGTTGTACTATTCAAAGCATATCCAGAAATAACAAAAGTAGTAGTTTTAGCCCCCAATTTAGGACTTTTTTATTAGAATTTTTTTCGACACTTTTATGAGGTTTTTTTAGTGATTTTAGTTTTACTACAACTTTCACATTTTTCTCAGTCTTTTTTCATCATTGGAATTAAATATAAACTGCTCATGATTCATACATATTTGCTATTTACAATTTTATATAACATAAACAAGCATGCCAAAAATTTAGAGAAGGAAGGGAATAACCTGAAGTAGAAGCTTTATTATCATTCTCAACCTTTATCTTGAACATACCATCACAAGCATAACCCTTGCACACAAATACACTCTTTTAAGTTTGATTTTCGTCAAAGACGAATTTGAACCACAATATTGCTAGTCTATTGTAAGGCTTAGTCTACTCTCTCACCCCCTTAATGTAGATAATATTGTTTGTTAAAAACAAATTGATAGTAGAAGCAAATCACTCGGTTAAGCTTAAAAAAGAGTAGTGATTTATTTTATCCTTACACATTTTAGGTTAAAACCTTAATTTTTTTTTAACAAACGATATTACCTAGTGGGGGTTTAAAAGTGAAAAAGGAAATTGGTAGGTATATTAATGATGCATGTAACAGAAACGAGCTTCACTGGAGGTGTCCCTAAGTTAGGACTTAATTAAGATCAAAGCTTCCATTATGAAAATGGATTACAGGAAACAAAGAGCATGATATATATTTGCTTAAAGTTGAAGGATTGAACACCATCCAAATTCAAACCCAAGTTTAGTCCAAGCAACAACAGCAAGCATAATTTTCACCTACTAAATATGACAATTGACAACCCTTTGCAATTTGTAAATTGTGTGTTTGTATTTTTCTTTTCAATGTTGGAAGGAATTTCGAATCTTCCTTTTTTTTCGTTGATTGGAAAGAAAGAAAAAAGGAAATTATATCTCTAATTGAAAATATGACCACACACTTTACTTTCCCTTTCATACATCCATGTTTCACCTTGTTCTTTTTTTATTTGATTTATTTAATCGGATGATTAAAAGTTTAATATAAAGGCATATAAGAGGACAAAAATGATATGTAAGTTGTGTATACGTTGATCTCACATATATTAGATATGTAAATTATGAAGTAATTTTCACATACTTGTGACAATGATTTTAATTAGGCTCTCAATCTTGGATTATTTAAGCCATGCTGCTACCATGGGTTTGTTATAGAACATAGTTTTGATCAATATCTAATTTGTTTCGTGGTCCCACTCGCAGATGATTGCCACCTCTCTCTCTCTCTCTCTTTCTCTCTTTCTCTCTCTCTCTCTCTCTATAACGTAGTTTTGATCAATATCTAATTTGTTTCGTGGTCCCACTCTCAGATGACTGCCACCTCTCTCTCTCTCTCTCTCTCTCTCTCTCAATCAAGTTTTATAAGGCAACCAAACCTCAAATAGTGAACATGAAGATTACTCTTGCCTGATGCCTCAAAGGGGTGACAGCTAGAAAGTTCCAAATAGTCGAGTAAATAACAAGTCAACATCCCTCCTCCCTCCAAATAGAAAAAAAAAACTATTATGCACTCAGTTGTCTCACGAAATTAGTTCATATATTTGCTATATTATCATGTGAGTAGTATATGATTATGAATGTGAGATAACCGTTTTATACAACGGATGCATGAAAGTTTTCATTCTTTACAAAGAAAATTCATGTATATCGGATGAGCATTTAAAAAGAAAGACTCACATGAAATGGATTCACCATCACGTGTTGTTCCTAAACTTATATATACATGATAATAGATTATTAGACAAGGGCATCGCATTTGCAGTGAACTTGTTTCATGTCAATTACTCTCGTATTTAAGAGTCCTCAATATGTATATACACACACTTGTTAGAAATGTTTTTGAAAGCAGACTTGAATATAGTTGACTAGAACAATGTGTTTTTACCATCTTATCAGAGTTTGAAACTTCGCCCAATAATTTATATTACATTAATTAAAATGTCACAACCTAAAATTTCTTTAAGCCTAGACTACTATATATAACTCTCCATAATCCATGACTTCCACATATATATATATAGAATATACACCACCTTTGGCAAGACCACTCGGCAAGACCACTCCAACAATCGAAAGTTCAAACTAATCTCTCCACCACCCCATATATCTTTCTCAATTTTCCAAAGACCTGCCTTTTTATACCTCTTTAGCAATTAAAACTAGCTAAAGAGAAAATGGATGATCAAAACCAACAAACCTTGACAAATTACTACTGCAACTCCATAGACAATCAGCTCCTGAAAAAAATTGCCAAGTTTTTGCTTTCAGCTTTTGTGTTTTCATTCTGCTTTTCCCGCTCATACATGCTCTCATTCCTCCATTCCTTCAACTTCTACTTCTCAACATTCCCTTACCAACTTTTCACTCACGCCATTAACAAGAACTTCATATTCTTCATATGCAACTTGCTCTTCGTTGTCCTTGCAAAACACTCGGGCTTAACCCAGCCTCCGTCGACCTGGTCTTATACTAGCAATGACGAAACGAGCTTCAAGAATATAGAAGGTGGTTCGGATTTCGGTTCCCCAATTTTAGACACAGAAGAGCCAGTTTTGCCAAAGGATAATACAAAAACGGGAAGGATGGACTCACTAGAAAATGTTGCTGGAGAAGAAGAACATGAAAGTGCGCCTTTGATCAACCAAGTGGAAAAACATGCAGAGAAGGAGATTGTTGAAGAACATGAAGAACAAAAAGAACAAGAACAAGAAAGTATGTTGTTAGTTTCATCATCATCATCATCATCATCATCATCATCAGAAGAAGAAGAAGAAGAAGAAGAAGAAGAAGAAGACGATGAGGATGATGATGGAAAACTTGCCCAGGAAGATGAAGATGTAACCGGAAGGTTTGGTAATAGTACTGAAGAATTGAACAAGAAATTTGAAGACTTCATTAATAGAATGAAGGAAGAATTAAGGATTGAAGCACAGAGACAACTAATTATGGTTTAAGGATGTTTTAAATTATGTTGCGTGAAAAGGTTTTATTCGCTACATTATTAGTTGTGTAAATTTATGTATTATTAGCATAGCCTTAATGTTTTTTTTTCCTTAATCTTTTACTTAATTTGTCTGGGAGTTGCCTTTGGCTTCGTTTGTAATGAATCTGAATCGTTTACATAATTAGTTGTGTAACCCTATGAACTTAATTTTGATGTAGTAAATCTGTTCTTTTGTTTAAAATAGAAAGTAATAAGGAGAGGACGAGGAATCAAAGACAAAAACTTGAGCGGAGTGATGAATGCTCTTAACCGATGTGATGAAATTGGTGATGGTTTCTTATATTGAGTGGAGTTGCTTTCTCTATTTCCAACTAGTTTTTTATAGAATCTTAACTTTTTTCATTGTATTAAATAAAATTATTCGTGTGTCGATCACAATGATCCAGGTGCTCTCATGTCATTAAAATATGAGTTCTCCATGCATTAGACTTAAAACGACTGCTTGCAGCTTTTAGGAACATTAGATACATGGACAATTAACTAAACTTGTCTAGTACCGAGGTATTTAAAGTTTTG